CATAGTATGGACCACAAACTCAATAGAGTCTAATGGACCTTCTTCCCTCCCATTGCAATCAATATTTTTTAAGTGCTTGCATGGAACTAAAGTTAGTATATTGTTTCTGTATTTTAACACTTGTTTTTTTTTTTAAACATGTCTTTCTTTGTTCTGCATTTCACCCTGTCCTCTCCTATCTATTATATTTCTCCTTGAAGGGGCAGTGCTTAAAACAGCCTTTGCCCTGTCTGTATTACAGTGTATTTTAGGATTGATGGAACTTGCACCACTACAGAAAAAAATACATTTCCTCAGGCTAGACACACCATTAATGGCTGGCCATTCTAGTCCCACTGGGCCACCTCTGATGCAAATATTGTCAACCCCAAATGTTCAAAAGATGCGAATCAGATGACCTCAAAATTATTAGATTGGCTTTAAAATAGTGAGATTATAAAAATAAATTCAGAATTCTTTTCTTTCTAGGTTTGTGTTTTCAAGCTTTTCCCTGAAGCCATGCAAACTAAACACTTAAGTGTCTTGGAGTCCATGCATGCACTGTACACACCTTTCAGCTCTGGACCAATGATATAAGGAGGAGAGACTTGCTGCTGCTCCAGTTTCTTCACAACTATCAATGGTCAGCATCCCAGGCCAGATGATCTTGGGTTTTTCCTGAGTGCTGTCACAGCCAGAGGTAGTGTGGAAAGGAAGGAGCCTGCTGACCAGGCTGTTGATGAGCTGAGCACTCTGACCCGGGGCTAGTTCTCCACTCAGCACTGGAAGTGGGATAACTCTTCTGGGGGCCCAGAGATAGTAGATTTTGTGGGGCCCCTTAGGCTCTGGTTTGGGACCAGAAGTGAGGGGTTCATACTGTGGGAGGGGACAGTGGGTTGAGGTAGGGTGTTGGGTGCAGGAGGGTGAGGGATCAACCTGGGGGGTGCGAGCTCTGGGGTGAGGCTGAAGATGAGACATTTGGATTGCAGAAAGGAGCTCCAGACTGGGGCTAAGGAGTAGCAAGTGCAGGAGAGAGCTCAGGGTAGGAGTTTGAGGCACAGGGTCTGGGATGGATTTATGGTGCAGGAGGTTGGGGTGGGATATGGAGTCTGGGTGAGAGTTAGGGTGCAGGAGGAGCTCAGGGCTGGAGCAGAGGGTTGGGACGTGGGACACTTCCTGTGGGTAGCTCCCTTTTACTGGTGAAGGGAGGAGAGGGTGCAGGGAGGCTGTGCTCAGTGCCCTGCGCTTGCCTGTAGGCCCCGCCCCATGCAGCTCCCTTTGGCCAAGACTCTCTGCCAATGGGAGCTGCAAGGACAGAGACCCCAGGTGAGGGAAGTGTGCAGCCAAAGCTTCCTGGTGTGTGGAGCTCTAGCCAAGCGTGGGGGAGAAGAGGCAATGGCACTTTGTGGAGCTGTATCTGCCTTCCCTCCTGCCAGGCAGGACCAAAACACAGGGGCTTTAGTGCCTAGAGGCCAGGGCTGCTAACTAAAGGGGCCCTGCAAGAAAAAATCTGCACTTTTGGTGGCCCTGAATCTGGGCTGCAGCCCTTAAACCCCTTTCTTATTCCAGCCCTGCTGCCTGGGGATATGGAGGAGCATCAGGGATAGAGATGAGGAGGAAGGGTGAAGTAGGGAGAGGGGGGAACACATGGGTGGGCAGCAGAGGGGGCACATAACCAGCTGGCACCTGCCCACACTCACAAGCCAACATAGTGCACAGCCATGCCGCCAGAAACATGATGAAGAGTAGGAGCCCTGGTGACCAACAGCCAGCACACAGAAGGGCTGCACTGATAGACTGGCAGGGGAACTAGCCAGCCTCCATCTATTACATCCTGTCATTCCACCAGCCTTGCACGCCCATCATTATTGTCAGCCACTGGACTCACCACTGGAGAGTGAGTAACTAGAGAGCAGGAATCCAGCCAGCATCAGGACCCACCATTACTGATGTGGGAGAGGGAGGAGGACAGAAAATACAGGACTATTTGTCCTTTTAAAAGAAAGTCGGGACATCTACAGGAGGATTTAAATAAGGACTTTCCCTTTAAAAACGGGATGTTTGGTCACCCTATTTAGACCCTATTTTTTCTAAATATTTCCTTCATCCTTCTGATAAGGTGGCTTGCCCCTTAAAAGGCTAGAGATCTGGGTTCAGGCATCCATGATTTCCAAGTTGGCATATCCGAGCAGGAATCAGGTGATTCCCATATAAGATCATCAGGAAGTTGCAGTGAAGAGGATGTATGTGTGTATGAGTGTTGCTCAGGGAGACTGGAAAAATGAGACTATAAGCAGAAAAGACCTGGGAGTGCCCAAGAGTATAAACGGATACACTTTGAGTTTTATTTTAAATTTACTTTTTATGAATAATCCCAGATCCCAAAAAGCAATGTTGTGAATAGACAAAATAGGTGAGTGTTTATTTAAGGAACCAAGAGAAGAAACTGAGGGTCCATGTAAGTCTGCCGTGAGGCTACTGGTGTGATTGGGAGGCCTCTACACAACAACAATCTCTCCTTCTACTTGGCTCCAAACACGTGTCAAATTTCTGCACCACCCAACCTTTGATCTTTTCCGCACATCTCTTGTCCCCTCCATTCTTCTAGATTGGTGTTTTTCCATCTTTAGCCTATGGACCCCTCGGGTTCTGCAGACTTTACAAAGGGATCTACCCCTCCATTTGAAATTGTTTAGGGGTCAGCAAAAGAAAAAAGATTGAAAACTGCTGTCCTAGAAGCTCTTTTTTTTTTTTTTCCCCTGTATGTTTTCTATCTTCTAGGGACTGTCTTTTTTGTGGGCTCCTTTTCCAGCCCCTCTTTATACAAATTTCAATTCCCGCACATACAAAGAGGTCTACAAAGTCTCAGTTCCCACACATCCTTAAACTGTGTTTTCCTCACGCTACAGTCCCCCTCTTTATTCCGCTTGGACTCTCAATAGCGTCTTCCTCCCATTCGCCTCATATCCTCTGTTTGTACGCCTTCCTTCTGTCCCTGCACCATTGCACAGCAGCTTCTTCCCCTATATCTCAACATCTAACTCATCCCTTCTGCCACTGGCATTTAGTCACTTCCCTGTTCTGCACCACGGTGCTGCACCATCTCTGTCTTAGCCATTAACACCCAACCTCCAATCTGTTCTGTCTCATTCCCTCTCATACCCCAGCAATCCATACTGGATGATTTAATGATTCCTTGTGGCCTTAAACTCCTATGAACCTCCTCATTTCCGGTATCTTAGCCATTTTCAGATGTAGATCTTGGCAACCACCATTCTCCCCTGCCCCAGTGCCCTGAGCCACCTGGCACAGGTGAGGCTGAGAGCCGAGTAGGGGCAGAGCAGCAGCTGGTGCTGGCTAGCAGCAGGAAAAGGGAGTGCTGTGGTGCCCCGGCCTGCTGCCAGGAGAGGCTACAGGGAGTTGGCCCAGAAGCCCCTGGGGCAGCCACTCAGGTGTGGGGGGGCCCTAACTGGGTCTACAGCCCAGACCTGAGACCTGGGCAAAGTGGGGCGGGACTTGACTGTGGCCTTTTCATCTACAATCCTGCCTAGCAACCGGGCTCTCCCTTCCCTGCTGTGCCCCCCGCCCCCCAGGAAAGGGCCTGAGGGAAGCCATAACCTGGTGCCTCAGACCAGCAAGAGGCAGAGTCCCTCGGGTTCTGATTGGCCAAGGCTGCTCCCACCCTTGCCCTGATTGGCTATACAAGGGGTGGGCTGGACCAGCCTTGCACTTGGCTTTGCAGCAAGGGTAGGAGGGAGGCTGGGAGGCATCCGGCTCCCCCACTTTCCCTCCCACCCAGGGCGCGCAGCCTGAGGTAACTTCCAGTGACCGCCTCCCTGCCCCCGCCCTTCAGGGGACTAGCCCCACTCGGAACAACGCCCCCTCTCCACCTACTCCAAGGGGATGCTCCCTGCTGGGCAGTAGCACCCCCGCCTGCTGCCCCCACCAGACAAAGCCCCGTGCCAGAGTCAGGCACTCCGGGGCCTTGAGCGCAAAACACAGGCCTGTGGCCCACCCTGCCCACAGCCCTGGGGCTGCTGAGAGGCCCCTTCTGTGCAGAGCAGCAGGAGCATGAGGCTCTTTTCGTGTGTCTGGCACAGGTGGTTGGGGCTTGGCAGTTACGACCCACTGAGCCACACACGGATGTCCACACCCTTCTGATTTACTGTCTCGGGCTCTCTGCAGACTCAGATTAATGTCACCGTCCCACTGAGACCTGGGCCACAGGCTCCAACTTAATTTTTCAACCCCCAGGCTAGAAATTTAATCTAAAAAATCCTCAGATTCTGAGGTAATCTCATGATTCCAGGAGCTGGGGCTCTTGACAGGGGCCTGTTGTGCCTATGCCTTATTTTGGCCCTGAACAAACAGCTCTTCTAAGAAATCACTGTATTTTGTGAAGGGATTAATCTGTGGGAAGAGGATTATTTGGATAATTCTTCCTGGGCATTACCACTCTCTCTAAAGATACTTCCCTCACTTTGTGTTTGTCAGATTGCTTCTTTTTTTTTTTCCTTACAGATTAGCCATCTCATCTTCCTATTGTGGTGATTAACAGATCATTTCACCTCTCCCACTCGCAATTTTTTTCTCCACCAGGGGATTACACTTTTCTTCCCCTTTATCCTCCCCTTCCCCCCGCAAGAATATGTTGCTCACCCTCCTTCTGGTACCTTCTTGAAGCTGAAATTGTATGCAGCCTTGCTTTATCTAAAAGCTTGCTTTTCTTGATAATCTATAAAAGGGACAGTTATATCTGTCCAATCCATTGCTAAAGTTAGAAACAAATGTTATAAAAATAGTTCAGGACCATATTGCTACTGTAACATTTTTTTGTGGTTGACTTTAATAAGTTTGTTAAAATCGCCAATAATTTAATTTAATTGGTATTGTTTATGAGTACATAATTAACTAAACAAATATTAGAAAAAGTAAATATGGGTGTAAACTGGCTGTGAATAAATTTAGGTTGGAAATTAGAAGGTTTTTAATTGTCAGGAGTGAAGTTCAGGAACAGTCATCCAATGGGAATTCTGGGAGCAGACAATTTAGCTAGTTTTAGGAGGGGGTTATACATTTATGATTGGGGTTATATAAATAGGTTGCCTGTAGTAGCAGGAGACTGCATTCAGTGATCCAGGAGGTCCCTCCCAGTCCTGTGTCACTAACTGCAAATAAGAAGGTAAGAGATTTCTTTGATTACCGTAGGCTTTAATGAAAAAATGGGAGGCATGCAAGTCTGACTGAATCTCACACAACGTTTTTAACAAGAGATAGTTCACTGGAAATTCTGAATGACAAAAGCATGATGGCTGTTCCTCTATGGAAGAGTTTTACCTCAAGTAAGGCTCCTCGGCTGTGTCTACACTGGCATGAATTTCCGGAAATGCTTAAAACGGAATACTATTCCGTTTTCAGTTTTTCCGGAAAAGGAGCGTCTACACTGGCAGGCTGCTTTTCCGGAAAAGCCCTTTTTCCAGAAAAGCGTCTGTCGCCAATGTAGATGCACTTTTCCGGAAAAGAGCCCCGATTGCCATTTTTGCGATTGGGGCTTTTTTCTGGAAAAGACTACTGGGCTGTCTACAGTGGCCCTTTTCCGGAACAGTGTTCTGGAATAAGGACTTATGCCCGAGCGGGAGCAGAATAGTTTTTCCAGAATAGCGGCTGATTTTGTACAGTAGAGCATCGTTGCTTTTCCGGAAATTCAAGGGCCAGTGTAGACAGCTCGCAGCTTATTCCGGAAAAGCAGCTGATTTTCCGGAATAAGTGGCCCGGTGTAGACATAGCCCTCCTGTCTACAATTCATACTGATGTAAGATAGATCCTTAGTCTTAGGTAATTATCCCACTCCTTACCTCAGAAGGTATAAAGAAATTCACAGTACTAGTATTATAGCATGGGTGCTTGGGATGGCTTATAAGGATTTTTACCATTTTGGGGGTGCTAATGTTCTGGTAGTTTTGTTATTGATATGAGACACTACATAGCTCGTAATGAGTTATGTTAGAATTTCACTGCTATGCCATTAATTTGAATCTGTACAGGTAGGGATCATCCAGCTGAAATGTTTGTTTGCCCATATAAGTTAAATTGCTGCTTTCAGCCCATATACTAGTTGCAAAATGTGTATATTTATTATACATTTTTATATAATGTAGAGAAAATCTTGGGACTCTGGGCATTTTAATGCCAACTATCATTATTTTATTTTCACAGGATGACCACACACTCTGAGTGGTAAAAAATCAAAAATGGAATGTGCATTATATTGCTCATACCGTGGCCCCAATCATGTGAATACTTATAACCGAGTAACTTTAAGCATATGAATTGTCACATTGAATTCAGTGAGACTACTTGTTAGGTTGTTGATATGAGTGTTTGCAGGACTGGGACTTACAAAATAGTTGTACTGTACTAATATATGTCACCTTCCATATAAACTAGATCTGAAAATTCATAGGCTAAATAATACAATTACAGAGAGGGAGTCTGCAAAGCAACTGTGTGTGAACTTTTTGTTATATCTGTTTTTTCATGAAACCAAAAAGGATACAGGAAAAAAAGGTTTATTGATGCCTTTTATATTGCAACTATTTTACATCATCTGTTGTTAATATTATCCTTTTTTATTTTAACAGGATTCTTCCATTACAAAAATGAGACATAATCTGGTCTGTCAGACACCTCGCACTGTCACTGTTCGTATAAAATCGAGTGCATCTAGATCACATCAACAAAAAAAGTCTATCAGTCTTAAACGTCCTATATTTAAAGACAGTCAGGAAAATTGTGAAAAAGATGTGCACAGTAATATGTCTAAACGTCCAAAAGGGGCCTGTCTTGTTATTCAGCGTCAGGAAATGACTGCTTTCTTTAAACTATTTGGTAGGTTAACAACTATACATTTTGGGTAAAATATGTTAATTGAACACTAAAATACATTATATAAGCAACTGTTTTCTAAACATAACTTCAGTGTGCTTCTCATACATATGGGTTACATCTAGACTGGCATGATTTTCCACAAACGCTTTTAACGGAAAAGTTTTTCCATTAAAAGCATTTGCGGAAAAGAGCATCTAGATTGGCACGGATGCTTTTCCGCAAAAGCACTTTTTGTGGAAAAGCATCCATGCCAATCTAGACGCAGTTTTGCGCAAGAAAGCCCCGATCGCCATTTTCGCCATCGGGGCTTTTTTGCGCAAAACAGTTTTTAGCTGTTTACACTGGCCCTCTTGAGCAAAAACTTTTCCGGAAAAGGGCTTTTGCCCGAACGGGAACATCAAAGCATTTGCGCAAGAAGCCCTGATTTCAGACAGTAGAACGTCAGTGCTTTTGCGCAAAATCAAGTGGCCATTGTAGACAGCTGGCAAGTTTTGCACAAAAGCGGCTGCTTTTGCGGAAAAATTTGCTAGTCTAGACGCAGCCATGTTGTTCAGACAGAGATATGGCTGTTAAAATCTGAGTCCAGAGTGAGAATTCAGATCTCTAAATTGAAATGACTGAATAAAGTGACTTAACCAACCAAACAATGGGTACTTAAGAACAATTTGCAACTTCTCTATCAGCTTCATGTAACGTGAACACTCTAATTCATTATTTTTTCCCCCTTCCTTCCCCCCACCCCTATTTATTTTGGAACTGGACTTTTAATACTCCATTCATCTGAAGAAGTGGGTTGTACACACAAAAGCTCATGATACCATCTACATGCATTGCTAGTCTTTAAGGTGCTGCTAGACTATTCGTTGTTTTTTGTTTTTGACTAACTACGGTCATCTGAAGAAGTGGGCTGTGCCCACGAAAGCTCATGATACAATCTACATGTTTTAGTCTATAAAGTGCTACCAGACCTTTTGTTGTTTTTTACATTTATCCTGTACAGACTAACTCGGTTAACCCCCTGAAGCTTCTGACTATTATTCGTCAGTTAACTGAAAACATTCCTAGTCCTACACCACAACTGTTGTTGTTACACTTCATTGTGTAAATGTTTACTTTTTAAATAAAAGACAACTACAAAAGGGCTGTCAAACTGCTGAAAAATACATTTATTAAGGATAAAGATAGAATAAAATAAAAATCATGTTATCCTTTCTACATACCTCATCCCTTTTTTCTCCCTTTAATATTTTCCTTCATTCTGATCCCACCCTACAGATCAGCAAGGCTCATTTTGCCACTATACATTTGTTTTGCATTATGTTTCAGAACAGATTTGAAAGAGGCTAGATTTCCCACCAATGTAAGCAAATAAATTCTTGTGTGGGGGAAAAAAAAAGCCTTTTTGTTTTGTATGGTGGGAAGTGGAATGAAGAGAGGAAGGAATGAGTTTTGGAGAAGTTAGCATTTTTCTCTCTTCTGTACATTTTTTCTTTTTCTGCTTCAGATAAAGAGAGTGAGAAATAAGAGAGAAGCTGTTTCGTTGCTGACTTGAGTGTATAGAAGTCAGAGTAGCCAATTGCAGTAATTTTTCCTATTTGTAGAATGGTTAACAAAGTGGAACACTGTGCAAATAAACTCCTATTGCGTACTAAAGGTTGTCAGACAGTGCTGAGAACCTCAACACTGCATGATCAATCAGAAATAATTGTAAATTATAATCAACCCATTGAAAGTGCAGAGAATAAAATAAACAGAGAAAAACTGTTCGGTGTCTTTCAGTTGATTTTTACTCGCTAATGTTCAGAGAATTTTGTTCTTTGTATTCTCTACTTAACCTTTGTTATGGCTTCTATTATTGTTTTTGTTCAGATTTTTTCCCAGGGCTAACACATCTTTTTCGTTATATGCTCTGTTCCCTACTGATCAGTCCAGCCAATCTCCTTTTCTTTAGCTTGATAAAGTGCCCATCTGTATCTGAAGAGACAAATGCTTTCTGACCTCCCAAACATTTCTTTCAATTGAAATGTAATAGCTGGGGGTTTTCTGTTTGTTGCAGATGATGATCTAATTCAAGATTTTTTGTGGATGGACTGTTGCTGTAAAATTGCAGACAAGGTAAATTTTGGTATTGTGTTTCGTTAGTAGGTCATTTTTTGCACCTTTTTACTTTTAATCACTTTAAATTGTAATATGAACATAAACCACATTCTGCTCTCCAATATATTCACACAGCTTCTGGCAGAGTAATATAGGAATAATAATTCCCACTTTTTGGGGAGTGAGAAATAGGGATGTAAGCGACTAGTTGACTAGTCAACTATCTGATAAACAAAAGCTTATTGGATAGTTGACTCGACTAGTCACTCCCTCTCCACCCCCTCCCCCGCTGCCTCTATCAGAGAGAGGCAGCAACAAGGGGGAGCAGGAGCTGGTGCTGATCACTGCGCCTCCACATTTAAAATGCAGAGCTGCAGCATTGGTGTGGGGTGGAGGGGCTGAAGCTGGTATGAGCCAGGACTGCTCAGTCCTGAATCAAGTCACTTCTCTGGAGCTAACCCCATTGCAGCTCTGCAGAGGTGCTTATTGACTAATCATATAGTTGATACAAATTATATCGACTATCCAATTAGCCAAATTATCACATTTTAACATCCTTAGTGGGAAATAAATTACTATATATTTGAGAGAGTTTGTCTGTGAGTATTTGTTCAAGAACTCTCCTAAACAGTAAGAGCTAGGACCACCAAATTTGGTGTACAGCTTCCTTTTTTCATAACTTAAAGTGGTTGGTTGTGCCAGAAAAATGGGATGTGCCTGGAATACGATTGCTTCTCATAAACCTATACAGAAAAGATACAGAATTAGCAGGCAAGTGAATGAGACTGGAGGGTGACCCCCTTATCCAGGATTGCTCCATCCCTGAGCCTCTCATCCCACAGGGACCTTTAAAGGAAGGTTGGGGGGAGGGAATGAAGCTCCCCACTATTTGTAAGGGGGCATTTGCTGGCTGTTCCCCTTCATGAGAGATCGAGGGGAAAGTGCACAGTTTGCTGCATTCCTCACTCTGGCTGGGAACAGCAGGAGGCAGACAAACCTGGACATGCTCCAGCCGGGGGACATGCACCCCTCCCCCAGTTGTGCCTGCTGGAGATGCAGTGGCCATGGAGAGGAGCTTTTCACCAGGCCCCAAGCTGCTTTAGAGAGACAGGGATGGGATAGTCTGTCCCCAAGGCAGCCTGCATATTGAACCCTTCATTCCCAGCCCCGCCCCAGAGCAATGGTTTAAATGAAGCATGTATATTTTCATTTTATTTTTCAAAAAATAAAAATTGAATTAAGGACTCAAGCAATGCTAGGTAAATCTTCTAGTAAAATATAATATTGTGGCATGTCAAACATTTAGGAAATTGTATGTAGGAAACAGAATACTAATATTTGTTAATATTTTATGTTTTTCTAACAGTATCTTTTGGCAATGACTTTTGTTTATTTCAAGAGGGCTAGCTTCAATATAAATGAGCACACAAGACTTAATTTCTTTGTTGCTCTGTAAGTATACTTTAAATATTTGGTTGGATTATAACACTTTTTTCATTGATTTACCTTGGTGTTTATTCCACTAATTATTTTTATTTCCACATTTGGATTCATAGGGGGACTTGAAAGTTGACAGGTGGATTGCCTTTTTATTTCAGAAGTTCCTTATACCATCCATGTAAAAATCTGCCCCAAAATGGCCAAGTTATAAGTCTTTAAAAATGCAGTCCATACATGTTCCGTAAACACTTTAATGTAAGCAGCTGTAATCTCTGAAAATTCTGCCCTCATAAAGTACACTCAAGGTTTTGTCAGCACCTAGTAATGACAAGACTGCACCTGCACCATTCCCACAGAGCAACTGATCATGATGCAGAGAGGGCTACACGGCCTCAGCAACTTTCCCAGGAGGTTCCACCTGGCTTGGGGGCAAAACTGGGCACTGGAACTGAGAGGAAAGGAGTCTTTCTCCCCTGTGCTCTGTGGCTCTTCCCCACCACTGGGTCCTTATACAGTGCTATTCATCCTGCTGATATCCAGGCAGCATGGAGAAAGATGACTGATTCAAATGCAGAGGAGACAAAACCAGACTAGGGCAATGGAAAAGAGTTGATTGGGGCAAGGAGTCTTGTGAGACTGGGACTGGAAGGTGGGAGAGAAATTGTGACTGAGAGTTGAAGACGAGAGACTATGACTGGATTAGGGCCCATAGAAAACTGAGTAGGAGGTAGAGAGGGCAAGACCCAAAGAGACTGGGAACCAAGGAGGTGAGAACAGGCTAGGACTGGTTGGACAGGGAGGTCGGCATGGATTGGGGAAGCAGACTGGGACCAGGGGCCATTCACAGACTTGGAGCCAGCTGGCTGGGAGCAAACACTGAGATCAGATGAGGAACTGGGAAAAAAGGGAGACAGGGACTAGAAACCAGTTGGAGGTGTAGGAGCAAAGATGGAAGAGAGGCAGCTGTGACATGGAAATGGGGTGTGGAAAGAAAAATAAGCCAGTGTGGGGGGCAGTAAAACTGGGGAAAGGAACCAGGAACAGTAAGTGAGGACTGAGATTATATGAGGATCCCGAGGAGGAAGTCTGTAACTCGGATTCGGTGAGGGGCAAGAGAGAGACCAATTGAATAAGGAGCTGGAAGGGGGTATTTGGATCGCCAGGGAATGGAAACTGGGGACAAGAAGTTCGGGCGAGATGGAGGAGAGCTGGAATTTGCTGCATAAGGAGACTAGGATAAGAAGCTTGAGAAGTGGAGACTGAGTTGGATAGACAGGGTGAATAGACACTACGTCAAAGACCCTGTGATGGGGAAGAGACAGTCAGTGCAGAAGGGGTCAAGTTTCAGGGAAATGGACAGGGAATAGAACCCCTTTCCTGTGTGTCTCCTCTCCTCTGTTGTCAGCACATGCATGTGAAATCAAATTGCAAAGAAGGCAAAAGTTACTGCAGCAGGGGGACTCAATTTTGGGTCTCCCACATAAGTGCCTTATCCACCAGGCTACATAATTATTCTCATGTTCTCTTTCTGGCCTAATGACTCATTTAAAAATATGTATCCAAAATGGGCAGCTTCAACAAAAGAAACTTGGACACACCCACAGCAGAATATCTCTTAGACCAATGACTAAGGCATTATTCTGAAATGGGAGATTCCTATTTAAATCTTTTCACCTCATCAGGCAGAGGGAGAATTAAACCCAAGTCTCCCACATCCTGAATGAGTACTGTAACCCTACTGGACTGAAAAGAGGAAGTGCTATCTCTACCTCCTACTCAGTTTTCTATGGGCCCTAATCCAATAGGCATGCTCTGATCACATCAACCAGATGGGACCCTGTAGGTGAGATAGGCAGTAGAACACTCATATTCACCTGGTTAGAGGATCTCACAGGGATTTAGGAAAGAGCCAGGTGTCTGGACACCTGAAGTGAGGTAGAAGCACAAATGCCAGAGGCAGAAACGTAGGCACAGGGTACTTTTACAATGAAAATGTAGGTGCTGAGTGAATTTAGGTGCTTATAGGTTTAGGCAACTGCTGAGTGCGGGTTCTGAGAATTTCACTGGTGCCTAAATGTTTCTTAGTCACCGAAAGTGTGCACTTAAGGGCCTTGGTCCTATTGTGGATTTGGACATTTGCGTCTGGGCTGATAAACTTTCATGACCCTTTAGTAAGCTGAATTGATAGCTAACTGTGGTGGTTTTGTGGCTCTAGATAGATGATAACTCTATTTGCCTGTAGTCTGGGGAGTATAGGAGAGAGGAAACAATGGAACTAAGAAATACCATATTCTGAAAGAATAGAGAAATGTGGATGTGAAAAAGTAGGTTCTCCTTAAAAATGGGTTTGCACCTATCGTACATTTTTATTTATTTTGTCATTTTATGAATGTTTGATTTTTGCTACCCAGTTGCTACTCAGATTTGGTTTTAAAAAGTACAATTTTCACATCTAGACAACAACTATAAGGCCTTAGTTTCAGAGCAATTCTATTGCTAACAGTCTCTTTTAAACCTCAGACAATGTATTTTTGCCTCAGATCCGAAGGAGTCAGTCAAAAACTATTCCTTTTAATGTGAGGATGTTCTGTTGATTTGGAAAAAGCAGCAAAGTTGTTTTATATACAGTAAAACCTGTGTTATCCAGCACACTTGGGGATTAGGGTATTCTGGTTATCTAAAAATTTCGGCTATCTTGAGGGTCCCATCAACCTAGGAAAAACCAATGGACAATAATACTAAAACTCAAGTTTTTAATATTGGTAGTTCTGTAGTGTGAGGCAGTTGGTCTCTCATTTCTATTTTGAGTTAAAGATGATTAGTCCTTCTTAAGTAAAAAATTGTTAAGCCAATCATGGTAAACCAAGCCAGGCCTATGTGCCTAAAGATGATAGTATTGCGGCTGGAGGCAATGCCAGTTAACAAAGTTTTCTAGTTAATAGAGTGCTGGATAACAAAGGTTTCACTGTATTATGTATGCACCTATCCTGTAGACTTTAGGACACAGCCAATTTTTGTGACTGTTGCATATGTTTTTGTATTAAATGGATTGAAAGAAACCAGAAAATTCCATGAATCCTGGAAGAAGTCTAAAGTTTGATAGCAACATTTCCCCAAACTAGTGAAAGAATGCTATTTTAAAGGTGTTTTGTTAAAATGACATGATATGTTGTAAGGTTTTAAGGTTGGAGAGCCTTAATATATATTTTTGTAGGTATCTGGCAAATACAGTTGAAGAAGACGATGAAGAGTCAAAATATGAAATTTTTCCATGGGCTTTGGGAAAAACCTGGAGGAAGCTCTTCCCTAACTTCTTACATTTAAGAGACCAGCTTTGGGGCAGAATTCATTATAGAGCTATTGTAAGCAGACGTTGCTGTGAAGAGGTAAGCAGGCTCTTCATGTGAGCTCTTTATGGCAGTTTAGGATCTTGTCTGATATGTATTAGATACATTTTCTTTATCAGAAACGTATTGCTAAATCAGGGATTAAGGGGGAAAAGCAACAAAAGTGTAATGATTTGCCTATTCTATTTTAAAACTGATTATTTTCCTTTGCATTTAATATGCAGTCTTAGGAACACTGGCCCAGATTCAGAAAAGGACTTAAGCTTGCAATTACAAGCATCATGCCTAGAGTTCTTAAGTAAAGAATGGGAAACCATAGGGCTACGTCTACACTGGCCCCTTTTCTGAAAGGGGCATGCTAATTTTAAACTTCGTAATAGGGAAATCCGCGGGGGATTTAAATATCTCCCGCGGGATTTAAATAAAGATGTCCGCCGCTTTTTTCCGGCTTGTAGAAAAGCCGGAAAAGAGCGTCTAGACTGGCCCGATCCTCCGGAATAAAGCCCTATTCCGGAGGATCTCTTATTCCTACTTTAAAGGCTTTATTCCGGAGGATCGGGCCAGTCTAGATGCTCTTTTCCGGCTTTTCTACAAGCCGGAAAAAAGCGGCGGACATCTTTATTTAAATCCCGCGGGGGATATTTAAATCCCCCGCGGATTTCCCTATTACAAAGTTTAAAATTAGCATGCCCCTTTCGGAAAAGGGGCCAGTGTAGACGTAGCCTAGGTGTCTTGAAACATCATCTCCAAAAGTGAGGAGTATGCAAATGGGTACCTCGGAGATAGGAGCCTAAACGGGGCTGCAGAGAGGTGTAGATCTCCTCTTAGCAATCCACGTATAGGAACCCACCCCCTAGAGACAGATGTCTTAGGTGCCTTAAAAGCTTCTTGCAAGAATGAGTTAGTCACCTGCTTCACTCCAGATAAAAGGACTACAGGAGGAGGTGCTAGTGCTGCTCACTTCATAATTTGTATCCCAGTGGATACAGCATTCACCTGGGATGTGGGAAAACCACGTCCGTCCCTCCCCCTGACAGAATTTGAACAAGGCTCTCCCACCTCTCTTCTCTGGAAGAGGGAAGAATCGAACTTGAGTCTCCCAGTCAGTGCTCTCACCACTGAGATAAAAGGTATAAAGCCAGGCACCACTGCCATTTCCTCTGAAAAGATTTTGAATGGGACCTAACTTGGTAGGTGGCCTCTGAGTACATCATCTGAACTGTATATCTTCCCTTACTTTGTGAATTGCTCATTTACTTAATTGGGAGATAGAAGCCTGGACACCGAGAGTGAAACAGCAATGTGCATGCCCAGAAGCAGAAACATAGTCATAGGACTGGAAGGGACCTCAAGAGATCATCTAGTCCAGTCCCATGAAAGAACTAAGTATTATCTAAATCAGGGTTTCCCAAACTATGGGTCGGGACCCAAATATGGGTTGCTATTACATTTCAAAAGGGTAGCCAAGTGTCTCCGCAGGTGGCTCTGTCCCCTGTCCTCCCCCTGTTTTTTAATTGCCTTGGGTCATAAAGTCTTCCTGAATTGTCAAAATGGGTCCCCATCTGGAAAAGGTTGGGAACCACTGATCTAGATCATCCCTGAGCAGTGTTTGTCTAACCTGCTCTTATCTCCAATATGGAGATTCCACAACCTCCTTAGGCAATTTATTCTAGTGCCTAACCAGCCTGACAGTTAAGAAGTGCTTCCTAATGTCCAACCTCAACCTCCCTTGCTTTTTGTTCTAGCCACAGAATTTAAGAAGCACAATTTTTGTCCCTCTTCTTTGAAACAACCTTTTATGTTCTTGAAAACAGTTATCTTGTTTCCTCTCAGTCTTCTCTGTTTCAGACAAACAAACCCAATTTTTACAATCTTCTCTCATAGGTCACTTTTCTAGACCTTTAATAATTTTTATTGCTCTTCTTCGGACTCTCTCAAATTTGTCCATATCTTTTCTGAAATGTGGCTCCCAGAACCAGATATGTTATTCCAGTTGTGGCCATATTAGCACAGAATAGAGCAGAATTACTTCTCATGTCTTGCTTATAACCCTGCTGATAATACATCCGAGAATGATGTTTGCTTTTTTTTGCAACATCACACTGTTGACTCTTATTTAGCTTGTGGGCAACCATGACCCCCAAAGTACTTTCCACAGTACTCTTTCGTGGGCAGTCATTTCCCATTTTGTATGTGTGCAACTCATTGTTGCACACACATTTGTTCCTTCTGAATGTCATCCTATATACTTCAGACCATTTTTCCAATTTGTTCAGATGATTTTGAATGTAAACCCTATCCTCCAAACATAAGTGCCTTTTACCCTAAAAGTTTAGACACTGAATGAATTTAGGCTCCTGCAGAGTGTGGTGGGAGTTTTTGGTTCAAAGTTAAGCCCAAAAGTGGGAAGTTCTTAGATTCCAAAGACTGGTGTTTCATGCCTAACTACTTTTGTGGGTCTGGCCCTATTTTTAGGGTGAACACAATAAAACACTGTTTCACACGCCATGTCCAATTTTTAAAAAATTTGCACATTTCCAGATAGCCAGCCCTTCTTGTACTTGAGAAGTTTTACATTGAGCCACTAAGTATTCACTATCAAAGTTTTTGCTGTCCAGAGACCTTGTATCTTATACAAATCTCCTTATTTACTGTCAGCCCTGAATGAAGGAACTTGTAGCAGAGAAAACTGATTATGCAAGTCACCTCATTCAAGTTAGAATTATTTCATTTTTCAAACTATTTGAAAAAAGTCAACTTTAATAGCTTTTGCATTATTTCACAGTTTTTCAAACCCAAAGTTAGTAGAAAAGGAAAAAAAATCACTTTTAGCGTTCTCTGGATTTATTCCTATTGCCAGGAAGGTCCCTGTTCTTACATTGGAGGGAACTAAAGAAAGTAGTGAAATACACTTGGTATGGTTTGGAAAAGATGGGCGCTTATCTTTATTTTAATTAAATATTGTGAAATTGCACAGTTGCACTGCACAGAGCAGCCTGATACCTAGATTTAAAATAAAATTACCTCAACAGTTTTTTCAGTTAGGAGGGTCCATTTTGAAACAATGACATCAATTGGAAAACATGATACAGATCACACTGTGGTTTTATATGGGTAACTGGAAAAGTACAAGACTTCCTCAGATTGTAAAGTTAAGGGAATTTTAAGTCATCCAGAGTGGTTCAGCCAGCAACGAGGATTTCTAACGGCCATACCACTCTAAAACCACTGATATGTATTTCTCAGGTCACAGATATGGTGTAATCTGAATGTGGCTTTTCTTCCCTGAATCCCTACTTCAGCTAGAAATGAAAGTGAAGATGGGGTCACCAATTTTTGCAGAAAGGAGGTATTTTCAAACTTGTCCTTTCCATTGTAATGCTCCGTTTCATACAGAGGTACCCACTTCCAGGACAAACATAATTAGAAATAGGTTTCTCTTTGTGTCAATTGTATAGTGTTTGCTTGCTGTTTTGCTGATACTGGCACCTTACAAAATTAAGATTTTCTAATCTAGGTAATGGCTATTGCTCCATCACATTATATATGGCAACGAGAACGTTCCATGCATCACAGTGGGGCTGTCAGAAATTACAGCAGAGATGAAGTGCAGCTGCCCCGTGGACCAACTGCCACACCAGCAGATTGTTTGCTTTGTGGTAAAAAAGGAAGATTTGTAGGACTGGGATTATCATCCTCATCATCTTCATCTACGGGGACTTTAGAAATGATGGAGCAACATGTATCTCAGGAATTGAAGGAGACGTGCCCAGTTGAAAAAATGCTAGTTGATCCTTCTCCTTGCAGTGATTCCCAAGGTACAGTTTAGTACTATAAATGTTTTCTTTAGCTATACATTCATTATCTTGGAATTAGGGATGTTAAAACGTGTTTAAATAATCATGTAATTGCTGAATATGTCATCTGTTACACAGGTACATTAGGGGGCAGGCAGCTCCCTGGAGCCAGTGTGCATAGGGGAAGTAGACAGCTCCCCACACGTACCAGGAGACTACATGTAACAGTGCACATTAACCAATGAGCCTAGGGTCATTGGTTAACCATGTACATGGTAAAACTTTCACATTCCTATTTGGACTAGGATGTATCTGAACAACACATTTAATCTAGCAGCATTTCTAATGCACCCACCACTGCCTCAGGACTGAGTTCTGTATAAGGTAGGACTAGATTCTTCCACCTTTCCCTTTTTTCTGTATGTAATAGGTCTATCAAAGAAGCTTGACATGAAGTAAAAAACAAATTTTATATTCTGCTTCACATTCGTTTTGGAAAGTGTGAATTTAGTGCCTATGAAAGGAGACTAATCTAAATTGCTTTATTTATCTACAGAATTGGGTTAGCACAGAGAGCAGCAGTTAACTGCCCTGACCAATGCTGCTTATCTCTAATCTGGAGAAACACTGACAGAGCAGTGCAGTCTTCATGCCTATTAAATCGTTGGACACTCTATCAATACTCAGTTCTATGAGAATGGGGATTATATAGACACCTAGACAGAGATGGACAACAACTGTGTTAATTAGTGCCAAGCATGCTTTAGTTTGTATTGTGAACATTAAATCAATCTTCTTGACTGCCAAGGATTTAGTTGTGTTGTACAGTCAGTTACAATCCCATTTGTAACCAGACCTCTATTCAGACTGTGTGCTATTCTTGATAGAATAAATGTGAGTGTATTTTGAGTAAAATCTTGTTAGGAGATAAGTCTCAGATATTTAGTGTCAAAAAGGGTATCTGTCTAACAATTTGTTTTATCTTAAGGTGTATTTGCAGAAGTATCTGAGTTCTAGCTGCGCCCCCCGCCCCCCAGCAGACCAGGGACACGGGGAGCAAAGCCGCAGCGGGGTGCCGCGCCTCTGAGGCTTTGCTCTGGCAAAGCCTCAGAGGCGCGGGACCCCACCGCCGCTGCAGCTTTGCTCCCGGTGTGCCTGGTCTGCTGGAGACGGTCCCCAGCAGACCAGGGGCACCCGGAGCAGCTTTTCTCGCCCCAGAGGTGGAGGTGGCGAGACCGCTGTGCTCTGGGTGGTCCCTCTGCCTGCGAGCTCCGGGGTAAGAAAGCCCCATTCATAAGTGCGGATCCGACATAAGTCGGATCCGCGTAAGTCGGGGGCTGCCTGTACAGCCATACTGTTTTGATATCATCAGTAAAATTCTCCAATTCTAACGGGCTTTTTTTTAAAACAAAAACAAAACAAAATCAGTTGTGTGATATTTATAACAGAAAAGGAATTAAGCAAATGAGTCCAGGAGAACATGCCACAGATTCAGCTCACTATTACAATACTTTGCACTTCCACAGAGTCTTCAATCTGGGACTACAATAATTTGTCAGTAATTGGTCTTTCTTTCTGGAACAATGCCTTGTAATAAATATATAGAGAGAGCGCCAAAATTCTGTGAATTGCATTTCTTATTGACTATGTAAAATCATGCAAACATATTTTGCTCCTGACTGATATTGATTGGTACATACCAGTTCAAACAGGCATTGCATATGTAGCAGAGGGCAGAATTTGTATTCTTACCTCATGTAAACAATTTTTTTTTAAATTTCTGGTAGATTGCAACAGCATATCCTCCAAAGAGAGAAACAGCAGCTGCATGAACCAAGACAAATCTATGGACTGGTTTACAGGAAATGAAGAATGAAATGTTGGACAGGGGTTATTAAACATAACTCAAGATTTCAACTTATTACAAGATAAATTACAAAATGTTTGTTTCTAACAGTATTGCATAGATGTACCATAGTTTACTATTTTCTTAGATTGTACATAGACTATTAAAATATACATTCAATATAAATCAAAGTAGTGATATAAAAAAATTCACAAGTCTACAAAATTAAACAGCCATTTACAACATTTAATTTTATTCTGGTAAAGTACAGAACTCAAAATTAGGAGTTGCCATCTGGAGCAGTGTCTGAATATACCAGTTGGTATTTCCTCAGCTTGATGAGAAATGCTAATTGAAGGAAAAAAATATTATTGCCACAGCAACTTCAGTGTGCATTTAATACATAAACATCTATAACAATCATTTTATGTCAATGATAATATACTAGTTGAGTGAGTGTTTTGTTGCAAAAAAATAGATTTAACAAATCTTAAGATTATAAAAACATTTCCCAAATATTTCTTACCTGTATGACCAGCTTGCCAAGGGTAAGGTCTAGCAATGTAAGGCACTGAACCATATGGTTCAACATAATCAGAAAGTGATTCTGCTGAATTAAAATAAAAAAACTATTTATTTCTTGACAGATAATAAATTACATACATCAGATCAGAGTATTTTATGTCTAAATACTAATTTCCCTAATATTGCCTCTCTCCTTTGTTAATCCACTCCAATCAGTCTGCTCTGCAGCCATCTGTTAGTATAAACAGACTCTTTTGCTATATTCATAAACCAAGAGCTAGAATGAATTGTACTATCTGAATTTGCCAGATCTGCAACTTGCAAACACAGTATCCTGTTTATGAATAATGATTGCTACCTGGAATCCTAAAACACCTTATAATCAATCATAAAGCAGCAATAGTCTGAATAGGGGAGTTGCCATAAGACAGTTCCCAAACTCAAATTTAAAGATTTTCTCTGAACAGCATGATTGAGCTGCCTATTAGAATTTATTTTTATTTAAATTTGCAACTGGATTTATTAAAAGGCCAGCTCATTTAAATTCATGTAGCTGCCAATCAACATTTAGGAAAGAGCGTAGCCAGAAAAAGTACATTTGTAAGAAGCGAGGATTTGGTTGCTAAACATGTTCTCTACAACCCAGACTTTCAGCTTCATTACTTCTCATAGGAAGTAGTACAAGAGCTAGGGGTGAGTAGATCAGGAAATGTCTGAAAAACGAAAAATGGTATTTTAGTTGATTACATTTTTAGCCCTCAAAAAAACCTCATGCTCATTTTATCATAAAGGTAACAAAGTGTTTCTATTTCATGCTTAGACATGCAAATTAGCAGCTTTCAAGCTACAGAAAGATGTTATACTGCAGGCCAACCACACAAACAACAAATCTTGGTCTGTTAAGCATGGGTTAATACTTTTGCGACAGCTGTACTTCTGGAAATAGATTAGAAAACCAGTAGATACTGGTATGGACCTAGGGAGCTTGCATACTTCCCAAGTTGATAACTTTTGTCTAAAAAATGTGGAGGATATGCACACATCTGAAGTTATATAAGCAGATTATTTGGAAGTGGGGAGAGGATGGGTAGGTGAAAACAGCTGTGGTGAGGGAAAAAGCTCTCATCAAAGAGGGGAAACCTTACCATTCATCTCCAAGTGCAATACATATCTAATTCAAGGTAGCTCCTTACCAACATCATCACTTTCTCCAAATGCTCCTTCATGCGGACTAGGAAGCTCTTCATCTTCTTTTAGTTGAGCTTCATGGGGACTAGGAAGCTCATCATCTTCTTTTAGTTGAGGTTCTATTCTTTGGACTAATCTGCCATTCTTCTGCTTAGCAGGAAGTACTAACCAATCTTTGTGAGTCACCTCAATGATTTTTTCACATAAGAGAGAGAAATTGCAGGTCCGTATTCCTTCCAACAGATCAATAACCTGTGTGATACTTTCAGAGAAATGTAAGAGATAGTTGTTACACTTTTCTTTTTTGAAAATATTTTATACAGTCCTGGTCATGTGCACAGCACTGCGCTCTTCCCTTTTTGGTGAACACAAAGACATCAGCTTTCATCCTAGCAACAAATCAAACTACTGCACTAAAACACATGGATAATTACCCTGCAGACATTATTTAGGATAAACTTCCACTGCCCCAATGGGAATTTTGCCTAAGTAAGGACTGCAAGATTTATACTGAATGTAGACCAAAGTATTATAAAAACAACAAATACAGAAAAAACTGTTACAAAAATAATTTTATATTTAAAGTGTATTTTACCTAGACATGTTTAACAAAACTACACTATTTCCTCTGATGTTTGACTCAAACAAGTTTATAAATCCCAGGTTTTAATACTTACTTTGCTAGGTATACAGCACATACTCCACCTTGCTTAAGATTTGGATATAAAACAGGCAAAGCAATCTGAGGATTAAGCATATCCAAAGCTACCTACAAAAGAATAAGATAGTTATTAGCCAAACTGAATATACATAAATCAGTTTCTTCAAGTCAACAAAAGAAGAAAACACAGTTTGTTCATGGAAAATTAATGCATATATCTACATTATATTGGAAAAAATTAATTGTATTCTAGTCTCCGAGCAGATTATATAGGCATAAGATCTGTGTGTTTAAAAAAACAAACCCTGAATTTACACATTTCAATGTTACTGCATTCTAAATGAAGTGCTGATTCAATCTGTTCATTTTTACTAAATGAGAAATTCATATTTAACCAACATCCAGTATTCTTGGGTTAATGTCAAACTGTCCAGCAACTAAACTATATTATGGTGGCAAAAGAAAAACCCTAATTCTTAAAATGTGTTGCATGTAATTGATTTTTGGATATCTGCTTTTAAGAAAGGTAAACATTCAAACTATTTTGCAACAAAATAATCACATCATGCTATTAAATAATTGCAAATGTTTAATTTCTGAGATTTCTCTCTCAGCATTCAGCAATCCCTCTTCAGTTTGTTTAAACTGCAATCAAAGAACCGACTAGGTAAGAATTCCTGTGTTGTGGACTAAAACATTCTGGACATCCAACATTCTGAGTTAGATACTTTACGTACTGACCATTTTATATCTGAACACAAATTTATCAACAAAATTTCACTTATTCAGTTAATCTGAAGACTTATGTTGATCCACGACAATTGATATAACAAATTACTCAATTAACGAGCTTCAACTGTTTATGTTGGAACAATATGGGTTCAAACAGTTCTTGTAAAGAATAAGGAAATAAAAACCAAGTCTATTTTGTTCACATATTGCATGAAAATATTAATGCTAAAAGTTACAGCATGAAGACAGGAGTTGCCAATACTCTTCATTACTTCAATTTAGATTGTAATAAAATTATATTTGGGACACAGGAGGGTTTTTTAAAACAATTATAGCACAAATTAGTTTGTGCACATATTCTTGAACTTGCTAGATACAAAGCATGTTCCTACTTCAGCTGTAAAAAAACCTATTTTTCCTCAACTGTATTATTACTTGTTGCAAATTGAGATAAATAAAATACATTTTTCCCTATAAGATGTCAAGGAGTAAATGTAATGTTTCCATATTATGGACATAGTGTTTCTTTTGAGGATGATGAACCATCAGACCCTCAAAAACACTTGTTGAGATTAGGAGATGGTATTTGTCCGTCTCTGTTAACAGAGGTTGGTTTGTTTCTTTATAGCTTATTCTTAGGCTAAAGGTGGTAAGTCCTATGATGAGAAGATAAGAAAATTTCATTTAATAAGAAAAAATAAAAACATATCAATTTCTTTACAGTAGGGCATTTTCTACTAATGACTTACTGCATCGAATGTTATAGATTTCATATCTTCAGCAGCAGTTAAAATGTCTTTATTAATGAAATCCACATTATCTGGCCACTCTTCTGCATGTCCTATTTCCCATGCATTACGCCAGCGCCTGTAATTCTTCTTAGCTACAGCATGGTGATCTTTTCTGATTTCATAACTTATAACACGTCCTCTAGGCCCAACTTGAAGCAAATGAAACACACTAAATTTACTACTTTTTTTCCTGATTCAAGTTAACTGGTTAAAAACATCAAAGAAAATGACAATGAATTACCCTAAATTGTCTCTCTTTCCTCACCCTAACAAATTATATAAAAATAATCAACTACAATTAATTTGTTTAAACGTAAATGATCACGTGCAGGTAGAGTGCCAGATTAACATCTTCGAGGCTGCAATTTGTCTACTCTGAATACAGAAAGCAGAGACATAGCAGAACAATTTCTCAACCCTGAACTGGAGAGAACAACTCTAGCAATAAAAGAATTCATTATATATGGTCCATTCAGTCTCTGCTCTCTCTGATGAAGCTGCCAACAACAATATAGGCTCACCTATATTGCTGCAATATAGTGCTGTACTTTATCTCTCCAGTGCAGATATATATACTAAACAGTTTCTAATGCACATTAATATAGTCCTCTTCACAGAGGATTACATTAATGAGAACCAGGAACCTTTTAGTTCATTCATGCCTGCAGCATCCACATGAGGGAGTTACAGTACAGCAACTGCAGAGGCATAACTGAGCCTATGCCAACACGGGGCAAGATTAAAGCAGTGGCCAAAGGGAAACTATAATGAAACCCAATTCATTTTCATTTGAGACCCACATCAGTGCTTCAGAAGTGAAACAGCAACCTTATCTAGACACCCAGTCCTTCAGTAAATTCATTCTGTAGCAGACGCAGGCAGTTGGGAAAGATAAACATAGATCAGTATTCATTTCTGGTGTCTAATCCAGAGTTGATTTTACATTCGCAGTAACAAAAGCATGGCACTATTGCTGAAATTCACCTCTATGCAGAGGGCCAACACAAGGTACCTGTGGACCACTTAAGCCTTGTGCCAACATCCCACAATGCACAGCTCTGATCCCCTTCTCGCCCCATTTCCCTGCACAACTCTGCCGTCCCTTTCTTCGCGGGAGTATCAGCAACGGTGGGTAAAGGTGAGCCTGGAGCCTTTTTTCTACTATTGGAAGCAGCAGAATGAGAGATGGGGAATGCAGGAGCTCCTCCCAGTCTGGTGGAGCAGCTAGAAAATTTGGAAGGAATGTGGGGATATTTGTAGGGAAGGCAGCAGGAAGGCATCAATGGTCCACTTTATGTAACTCGACTGGAAAGTACCCAAATCTCACCCCCCAGATGGTTCTGTTCTGTCAGTGCATCTGAGCTCCCAGAAACAAAGGCTACTTTTTCATTGAGGAATTGTAGAATAAAACTACATGTGCCTGGTAAACTTTGAGAGGTCAAAGGGAGGAAAGAAGTGGTGGGGGCTGGGACAGATGCCTGCAGAAGTGGCAGGAGTCCCTCCCTTAAATCTGGGTCAATGTATAGGGGGGATTCTATCTTTCCATCTTCTTCAGAGCAAGCGCAGGGAGGTATGCAGTGGCCCATTCATCTCAAAGAAATGTTTTCAGCTGAATGAGGACCCCTCCATGATGGGGATGATACAGCCTGAAACAAGGGGTGAGAGCTGCTCCATTCCTCTGAGTGTTCTCATCCTTCCCTCCTTATGTGTAAGCTCTTGCAGGCCTATGTCAAGCTTGCTGGCTCTCAGCTCTTTGTCCTGGCCTCAGCACTGTACTCAGCATTTCTGTTCTCAGTTCCCCAGTACTCTCAGCATTGTGCACCCAACTGTGTACTGTCTATGCCTCGCCCTAATCTCAGCAGTATGTTTCTGTGCCACACATACCTGATTTCAGTGCCTGGCACAGACTCCATTTCCCATTCTTAATGCAGGAGAATTCATTAAACCTATTTCAGAAAATAAATAATCTGTCCTGGCTGGGACTCTTGTGCTGGTGGCCCTACACTGTTATTTGGACTTCATATTCCTGCCCTGCATGGCATAGTTCAGTCAATCGAACCCCCCATCATAGACAGTTAGGTGAAAGAAAAAATTCTTCCATCAACCTAGCTACAGCCTGTCAAGGAGGTGGATTACCTACATCAATGGAAAAACTCCTCATTAATGTAAAAAGTATCTACATCACAGCACTATGGCTCCAATGCTGTAGCAATGCCACTGTAGTGTAGACAAGGCCTAAGCATGTCTCAACTGTACAGAGCTGCATCTCCATTATGACTGTGATTTCAGAGGTGCAGTCTACATACTTACACACAGTCAAAAAGGGGTGAGGTAAGAGTAATCCAAGAATAGTGAGAAAGAGACTAAAAAGGCAATACATGGATTCTTATGATATAATATGGAGTGAAATTCAGGCCTTGCAGAGTATCAGCACAAGGTTAGGGTTAAATGGCTTACAGGTTATATGCTGGCTCTCTGCATAATGCTAAATTTCACTTTAGGTAAACAGCATATATGAATCTGAAGAGTCACAGCACAACCTAAAAGTGGTCATAGCAGGTGACGTCAAGCTTTTTTGATTAGTGGAAAAGTAGCACTTGTTATTAGGGATGTGAATGGTGAACTGGTAAACCTCACCCTTAACGTGTGAGGCTTACTGGTTCCGGTTAACTGGTGGGGGCAGGAGCAGCTCCTGTCCATGTCAGGCCAGGGGGGCCACTCCAGGGATGCCCGCCGTTAATTGGTTAACAGGTTAATGTTATGGTTAACCGATTAAACTGTATTTTACATACATACTTGTATACTAGTGTTATCTGTGTTGCTCCTGAAATAAAATCCTAAATTTGCTAAATAAAGGGTCTTTTACCTGCTCTTGATAGAAACAAGCTCATACCACCAGACCCACTACCAGTTTCCACCACAGCGTCTCCTTGATTGATATCCATCATCATTAGCATTGCACTAATATCCTAAGGATTGAAAGAGAAGTAAAATATCAATACTTTTTATACGATATATTCAAACAGTAAAATGTTAGAACTCTGCTTAAATTGATGGCCTGATCTCCAGTGGTGCTGAGTATTCACAGGTGCCATTGAAATCAACAAGGGCTGGGGGTATACTGCACCTCTGAACATGACTATGCAAACACAAAAGCCACCTCAAGCTCTTGCAGCTATTCAGATCAACAAAATGTTAACAGAAAGGAGTAATTTACTTATACAGCAATGATAGGAGTCCTTAATATATTAGACAAGTGGCAAATTAGGATTGTGAAAGCTAAAATATCCCACTGTAAAACATTGACTTTACTATGATGGAAGCTTTCTAAAATTCTGCATCTCATTAGAACCAGGTTTAAAGTTAGGACTACCCAAACTTTGGGATGAAGAGCTGCTTTCTCAGTCTGCCTTTTGGTTGAGTTCACCAGTAGTGATAACAGAAATGAAAAGCATCTCTACAGCCTAGAGAGAAGAACCGCACATCTCATCCAAGTCCCACTGCCTAAACCCATGGCTCATCAGGCTGGTCACCACCTTAACCCACTGGACCAGGTACCCATCTTGCAAATAGGTGAACTGGAGGTGGCCCTCCCTCTTTAAAACCAACAATCATCCCTAGCCATTGTTTAAATCCATTTTAAAGTTTAAATTGTTCAAGTGTGGGAGCATCCATTGCGATAGCTAACAATTCATTCAAATATGACTTACCTTTGGATAGGAAACAGTAGGTCCTCTTTTCATCAACACCACAAAATCTTCTAAGGCTGGTCTCCTTATCAGGAACTTAAACCCTTTAGAAGTCCTAAACATTTGGCCCGGTAGCTTACCTATGATATCCAGGTGGCTAATAACTCCCCAGTTGCTATTCAACTTCCCGAGAGCTGTCAGGTTACACATATGTTTAAACTCCAAGTAGGTTTTTCTGCGAAACTCCGCCAAAATCAAGTCTCCGGCTTGGAAAGGAACATCTCTAGAGGATGCGTTACGGGTGCTAAGGGGCACACTGTCTTCATCTCGCTGCCGCTGTGCTGGGGGAGTCGCAGCGGAGCCAGGCAGCGGGAGAGGGGGCGAGTCTCTGTGTTCACTGGGGTCCTCCTGTCTTGTTTCCCCGTGGTCCGCAAGCCTCATGGCCCCGATCTCTTTCGAGAGCAAGTCCTGCGGTATCAGTCGGCTCACTCTCTCCAGCGGAGACAGCGCCCCTTCCCAAGCGCGCCTCCGCCGGCTCCTCAGCCCCTGCCCCGGATCCGTCTGCGAGGCAGCCGCCGGAGGGGAATCCGCGACAGCGAGCGGCTCCTCCGTCTCGGCCCCGCCTCCACCCCGGGGCGCGGCGGAGCACACCGCTCGGACAGCCCCCGGGCCAGGGGCTGGAGGCCGGCGAGCGCCCACCCCCCCCAGGCCATCGCGGGCCACGCCCTCGCCCCGCAGCGCCTGGAAGCAGCTCGCCCGCCTCCTCTCCCCCTGCAGCACCATGGCCGCGGCCTGCGCCCGACTCCCGCTCCCCAGCGCCCGCAGGCTCAGCCGCCGCCCGGCACACTGCAGCATGGCTGGGCTCTGCGCAAGGCGGACGGCTCCGGGCTGCGCTTCCTCGCGCGCAGGCGCACTCGCCTCGCTCCGCCTGTAAGGCCCGCGCTGGCTGAACACAGCCACGCTCCCCTGCTGCGACCCTCCGGATCCACGTGCTTGCTCACATGGCCGGGACAGCGCGCGCCAGATTGGCGTCCGGCAGCCGCCGCCACCGCTAGACTTCGCAGACTTGTGTTCCTGGGGAATAGTGATAGAAATGTAGCCGTGTTAGTCTGGTGTAGCTGAAACAAAATACAGGACTATGTAGCACTTTAAAGACCAACAAGATGGTTTATTAGGTGAGGAAGTGGGTCTGGCCCAGGAAAGCTCATCACCTGATAAACCATCTTGTCAGTCTTTAAAGTGCTACATAGTCCTGTTTTTTGTGTTCCTGGGGTTCCCCCTCTCTCTCCAAGGCCAGATTCTGAACTGGGCTCATGAAAATCCTTCATCCCAGAGGGGAAAGAAATCAATACAGGCTGCCAATAGTCCCTTCTTTGGAAATTAAATCGAAAGAGTGCCTCTTTTTTTTTTTTTTTTTTGACAGTGGTAAACCTCATTTTACAAGGAAGAATGCCTTTTTTTTGAAAGAGCTCTTTCGAAAAAAGGCATTCTTGAACGCAATCAGGGCTTTTTCAAAAAAGAGTGTTCGGATTACCTGGGTGCTCTCTTTTAAAAAAACGATCCGCTGTCTAGATGATCTTTTTCGAAAGCCTCTTTCGAAAAAGGCTTGAAGTCTAGAGATACCCATAGAAAGGGGGAATTAGTGACTCTCAAACACGCATTTTGAACAACAACCATGCTATATAAAAGCCTGTTACCTCCTTACAGTTGCTGCCATTCTTCCCTCCCACATCCCCAAACCCACCAAACAAAATACCTTACGTGCCTTGGAAGTAACAACCTGAATTGAATATAATTTAAATCCCATTTCTTGGTCAGCTAGACAAAAATACAAAGTCTTTTTATTTAAATGAATCATACTGTAATTTAAGTTTATTTTAGTAAAATGGTTTGGTGAAACACAAAACATAGGTAAAGTTGATATGCTACTGCAATTCAAAGTTTTCCAAAAATATACAATAAAAAGAAAAGTACAACACGCTGTAAATTTGAATCAAACATTGTCTAGAAGTGATGATATAAAGCCTTGTTTTCATTTCCTATGTATAATGGTGGAGAAGAAATAACTGCAAAATCACTATGGTGACAGTCAGAGATTGACTAGGTTTTCTGAAGATTTTATGTTTTCATGCTGCAACATAGTCTGAACAATATATTTGCATCTTTATTTTTCAGAATGAATTATAAGTCCTCCATCTGCAGTGAGCTCAGTATGGACAATGGGACCACAGGGAGTTCACTGTGGGTACGTGTACACTGTGGGCTAAAGTCGAGTTAAGATCACAACTTCAGCTATGTCAATTGTGTAGCTTAAGTCAAAATAGCTGAATTCAGCTTTTGGCGCTGTCTACACAGCAGGAAGTCGAAGGAAGAGCACTCCCCCTTCGACTTCCCTTACTCCTCGTGAAATGAGGGTTACAGAAGTCGGACTAAGAAACCTGTTATTTTGAAATAGCATGAGTTATTTCACAATAAGCGTGCAGTGTAGACATAGCCTGCATAACTAGGGCCTAAAAGAAGGAAGACAACCTCCCTCCAATCTCCCTGCCCTAAACCCCAACCCCCTGCTCTGAACTCCTCACACTAAAATTTCTTACAGATACTATTGTATTGTAACTTCCTCTCCCCCTGCCCTGACTCTCCCTCCACCACCTATCCTCCAAGGAGGTTGCTATAAGACAGTCCCTGTAAGAAAATTATGTTACTTTTTGGCCCTAACAGGCTGCCAGTGGCCGCCCACCATTTTACCTCCCTGTGCCGGGTCGGACAGATCCCCGGTAAGCATTAGGGTTGCCAGGCTGCCTCTGTATTGAGCCAGACCGCCTGGGATTTTTGCCTCCTGACTGGGGAAAAATCAGAAAGTACCAGACATTTTAGGTGTCCAGTATTTTCTGAATTTTTTTTACCGGACAGGAGGTGAAAATACCGAACTGTCCAGTTCAATACCAGACACCTGGAAACCCTGCTTCCTGCAGGAGAGTGGGGAGAAGAGAAAGTCCTGAGACTCTGCACCAGCTCTGACTTAAGGCGAAGTGCATGAGTTGCTCCTCTCCTCCCTTCCCCACAGCAGCATGCACACTTCCCCGCAAGCCAGAACCAGCGTGGAGCCTCGGGGTTTCCCTCCCCTTAGAAAGCTGGCACTGGTGTGCTAATCTTGTGGCAGGGGGAGCAAGTGCCTGGCCCGAGGCAGCCGGAGGCGGTGGTTCCCTGCTGGGTCTCAGAGTGTCGGGGCCTCAAGTGCAGCAAGGAGCCACTGCCGCTGCTCCTGCCACCTCCTGGCTCAGCCCTGGCACTCCTCTGGTGGCCGGAGGGAAGCCGAGAGACCAAGGCTGCAACCACGGAGAAGTGTAGCGGGTCTGAGAGGCTGGTGGGGCGGAAGCTGTGGCCTGGTGTGGCCGGGGGAGGAACAGGTGGGAGTTGAGAGGTGAGGACTGTGACCAGGGAGGTGGTGGCAAGGCCAGGGCTGGCTGTGACGGGATGGGGAGCTAAGAGGCCAGGGCTGGCTGTGACCCCAGCCCTCACCTCCCCAGTGGCTAGGGGAGAACCAGGCTTGCCTACTTCCAGTGACAGGATTGGTGAGTGTAGTAAGCAGGGAGCATAGCCCCAGGGCCGGCCCAAGCCACTTTTGTGCCCTGGGTGCACGGCGCATGTAATGTGTAAAGATAGCTTCCCCAATTATCACCTCTAATACTATTAACTCACAGACATTTCCCCTTCCCCACCTCTAATATCATTAACTCACTGGCATTCACCTTCCTTTTCCCCCCCCCCCCCCACATCCCCTTTCTGTTCTGTAATGTGATTTGTCCTTTTCATGTGTGTTCATTTTTTTTAAATTGTATCCTTTGGTATATATGGTTGTGACTGTTTTCTTCCATTATTTGATCTGAGGAAGTGGGTCTGGCCCACGAAAGCTCATCATCTAATAAACCATCTTGTTAGTCTTTAAAGTGCTACATTGTCCTGCATTTTGCTTCTAGTGAAATAGTTTTTCCTAATATCCAATCTGGACCTCTCCCCCCACAACTTGAGACCATTGCTCCTTGTTCTGCCATCTGTCACTACTGAGAACAGCCTTTTTCCATCCTCTTTGGAATCTCCCTTCAGGATGTTGAAGGCTGCTATCAAATCCCCCCTCACTCTTTGCTTCTGCAGACGAAGCAGACCCAACTTCCTCAGGCATCACACTTTGCTCAGGCATCACACTTTTTCACACCCTTGTTTATATGTAGGCTTGGCTTAATACAGAAATTTGCAATGCATTGCCCACATAATCAAGGGAAAGAAGCTAATAATGGAAATGACAGAAGAGAAATATTAATTAAATAATCTAGTCTGCTTCCCTGTAACTGTGGGATTGATTCCTAGATTACACTTTCTGGTGGGGGTTTTTTTCATTCTTGCTTAAAGTATACCTTAACAACTGGGGCTTCCACCATTATCCATGGGAAACAATGTTGTATTTTAATAGATCCTATATTTTTTTCCTGATATCCAGGCTACATTTTCTATCACTCCGTCAGGATACTGGAGCAGCTAATACACACCTCAATTAATTTATGAGAGAAATATAATTAATGCCAATGTCCATGGGTTTATGGAAAACAGATCCTGTCAAACTAACTGGAAATCTTTACCCATTTGGTATTGATGTAACATACTCAGACTTCTGTACCTTCCCCAGACCTGAAGAACTGTGAAGTAGTGATGTAAAATCCTGTTTAACTTAATGTTTAACTGCTTAACTAATTAAGTCAGCCTCACACAGTGTGCTAGGGCAAAGGGGGTGGAAGTGGCATGGTGGTAGGACTGCTGGCTCTCAGCCCACATGGGCTTGGAGCCAGCCACCATCTCCCTTCATGCCACCTCTGCCTCCCACCCCTCTGCCTGCATGGGCTGGGGGCCAGCAGTCGAATGGGGCTGGAGCAGCCCTGGGCTACTCCGGGTAATGGTTAACCATTAAGGGTGATGCTTACTGGTTAACTTTTCACTGTGAAGTTTTAAAGTTGTACCTTCCATCAACAGAAATTGATCCAAATACTTCTCTAAGGTATTTGATTTGGTATAGCATTAAATTTTTATTAAAAAACCTACAACAATATAAAATTAACATGGCCCATGTTAAATAAATTAAATGTTGGCAGATGGTTCTCTGTTTTAATTACTTTTTGGGACCAATCATAGACAGGTGTGTTTCTGCAGGGCCTGTTCTTGGCTCTATGCTATTTAACATTTTTACCTATACCTTGGACGAAAACATAAAATCACAACCGCAAAAGTTTGGTAATTACATAAAAGTTAGGGGAGTGGTAAATAATGAAGAGGAAAGGTGGTTGGATTACTTGGCAAGATATGCACTAAAACCAGTATGGCTTTGTCTACACTCGCGGCTTCTTGAGCGAGTAATATGCAAATGAGGCTAAGCGTGGAATATCACCGAGCCTCATTTGCATACCTAATGAGCCACCATTTTTTTCAGAAGAGGCTCTTGTGCAAGAAGGAGCGTCTACACTGCCCCTTCTTATGCAAGAAAAACCCTCTTGCGCAATGCCGTTACACCTATTACTTGACAGGAAGAACGGCATTGCGCAAGAGGGTTTTCCTTGCACAAGAAGGGGCAGTGTAGATGCTCCTTCTTGCGCAAGAGCCTCTTCTGAAAAAAATGGTGGCTTGTTAGGTATGCAAATGAGGCTCGGCAATATTCCACGCTTAGCCTCATTTGGCCTCATTTGCATATTACTTGCGCAAGAAGCCGCGAGTGTAGACATAGCCTATGTGTGTAACTCAATGAGAATGTATACTTCTGTGAACAAATATTCATTACTGGCTTTTCAGTCTATCAGAGAAAGGTATAACACAGCCCAATGGCTGGAAGTTAAACCTTGACAAATTCAGACTGGAAATAAGGTGTAAATTTTTAACATGGAAAGTAATTAAGTATTGGAACAGCATATCAAAAGTCATGGTGGAGTCTCCATCACTGACCATTTT